CCCGGTGGGAACGCTGACACATGGGAAGGGGGCTGGTACAAAGTGTTTCCGTTGTTACAAGTGACTACAGATAGTGTTCTAAAACATCGTAAATGTATAGGGAAGCGCTGCCCCCCAATTTTATAGATGGTCCTTTTAAGGTCCCCTAAATAGTCCCCGAGAGTGCCACTTGGTGCAGGGTCTGCAGGACGCAACTTGGGGGGAATGGGGGAGGTCTAGTAGGGATGCACCTGGGCTGGGAGGGGAGGAGAGAGAAGAGGCGTGGGAGGGCCAGAGCCCTGAGTGAGCGAGCTGGCTTAGATCCCTCCTGTCACGCTCCCCGAGGGCCACGGTGGATGATGCCTTTAACAAACAGTATGTCATTTTGTCACAGACAGAAGGCTAGAAATGGGCACTCAGGGCACCAGCTCTAGGGTGGCCCCTCTCCCCGGGTTGGCTCTGGGGGAAGTGTGGACTCCCTGGTGATCTTCACGTAGCATGGCATCTACCCACCTGCATCTCTCCTTGCTCCATCTGCCCTTTTATAGCTTGTAACAGACAGCCCGTTCCCACCAGCACAGAGGTTAAAGTTCACAGCACCTATTGGGGGGCAGGCAGAATTCAGGCCATAACAAAAGCAAGAGAGACACAAGGGGGAAGAAAAGGGGGAGGGGAGGAAGAGGAGGAGGCGTTGCTGTGGATGAGGAAACTACCTGAGGGGCTGGGAAGAGCTTGGGATTGTGGCCAGGGACTGGCACCACCTCCCTAGAGGAAGCAGGGAGGGAGGGGCAGCGACCCCCAGCCATTGCTTCACTCCTGCCTCCGTACCCAAGATGTCTCAGAAGGAAACTAGCAAAGCGGACCAGATGAGCCGAGTTCAGAAGGGTCAGGTCCCCTCTTTCCTCTGAAGCTCCTGTCTGAGACAGAGCAGGGGTGTCCTGTGGGGGGCTCTAAGACGCCAAGGCCATTCGCTCTGAAGCCCGGACTCCCAGCAGAGGGAGCCAAAGGAAGGAGCCAAGGTGGGGATTGGGGTGCCTGGACGTGGCCCAGCCAGCGCTGAGCTGTGGGTCCTTGGTCAGGTCACCTGCCCTCTCTGGTTGCTGCTCTCTCTAGAACCATAGAGAGGGTACTAGATCCAAATGTCCCACAGTGGGAACATGGTATGAAGTACCATTGAATCCCAGCCTTCAGGCCCTTTTCCAATCTCGCTAAAGAACTTGGATCTGGAGTTGGGCTCTTTTCAGTTTAAAGAAACACTTGAATGCGAATAAGGGTGAAGCAAGAATATGTAACACAATTCTCCAGGTGGTGCTCAGGGGTCGGAGTCTGATAGATGGGACCTTCTCGTCACTCAGACACCAGGACAGACCAGGGCTTCACACCAGCCTGCCCCCCAGCTCCCCCTTGGGGCGTCATTACTATTGGGTGATGCACAGTGACCCTATAGGATGGGGTAGAGTTGCCCTATGGGGTTTCCAAAGCGGTACTCCATACTGGAAGCTGCCTGCCACCAGCCCACCAAGTGGCTGGTGGGATCAAACTGCTGACTTTTCGAAGTTAACAGCTGCGCCCTTAACCACCATGTCACCTATTCCTATTAACCCTGGACCCCAAAACGACAACCAAACCCCCAAACGCACCGTCACTGAGTGGAGTCTGACTCCTAGCGACCCTGTAGGGCAGGGCAGAACTGCCCGGTGGGTTGGTGGGTTTGAAGTCCCACCTTCCCCTTACTTACTCGTCCACCTTGCCCAAGTCCCTGCCGTCCCCAAAGTCGCCCCGGGGCCCGCTGAACCTTTCCTGACACCCGCCCTGGCAGCAGATGAAAGACGCCGGCCACGCTGAGCTCAGCCTCGTGACCATCCTTCGTGGGTGCCAGCCTCCCGGAGCCCGCCCCCTGACCTATGGCCCAATCTTCTCCAAACGCGCAGGCAGCGGCGACTCCAGGGCCCTTTCTGGGCCCCGCCCCGGGCAGGTCCGGCCCCTCCCGCGGTAGGTTAAGAGCCCCCCCAGAGCCCCACGCTCCGGACAGAGGGTCACCCGTGAGGGGCCGGCG